GTGCCGGCTCCTGATCGGTCGACAAGGGAAGCCTTTGTCGACTGCTCCTGTAAACCTTGTGTCACGAGGCATAAAGGAGCGGTCGACCGATCTGCGTCTTGACTGCCGCGCTGTGCCGACGATCAGCTGAGCCGGCACAGCGCGGCGGCCATTTTTATTTTAATGAAGTGGGGGATATTTAAATCCTCGCTTCATTGACTATGTCAGGTAGTCTAATTTACATGCCTCTGGTGACAGAGGCATGTAGTTTAGACATACCCTAAGGTGCCAGAGAACTGCTCATTGGTTTTACAGTTTAAGGTTTAGCTGTCCCTTTAATAAGACAATGTTGGTGGATGCACTTTGTATGAAATGCTGCAGTCCTTTGCAGGCTGATTGAAAGATTTAGCATCGGTACAGGATTTGGAGTGGAAGGAAAGGTAATTAAAATACAACTCCATGCAAAACAGGCTGATCAATAGACTGGAAACATCAGAAATCCCTTTTTAAATAGCTACATAGGAAAGTGTCAAAGAGTCTGGTCTAATTATAAGGACTGAAATTATTTTGGACAATACATCTGGGAATCTGCAAACAGCTTAGGACAGGTCTACATTGATGGAGAAAATCAGTGTAAGATAGGCAATTCCAATTATAACAATTGTGTAGCTAGAGTCAACATACCTTCCATTGATTTTCTTGGGCTGCCCGAAAGTGGGAGGTTGACAGGTAAAACTCTTCCATCAACTTCCCTTATTCCTCACAGTCACAAAGAGTACTGAGTTTGACTGGGCACCCTCAGCATTTGATTTAGTGGGTCTTTGCCAGACCCACTAAATCAAACCGCATAAGATTCATTGCCAGAGCACTGCTCTTCCAGCAAGTAGAAACATGGCCTTTGTGTCCCAGTTTTATTCATATAATATTGTGATGAAGTAGATATGTTGGTAGGTGGGGGGAGGGAGAGAGAATGTGTGTGTATTGCTATTCTCCACTTGATGACTTCATAACTCACCTGTATGACATAGGCCCTATACTGCTGATAGCTAATAGGGATTCTCCCTTCATTGGCAGGGCCCTGTTATTTTTAAATTTGATTTCTATCCTAGTGGAATCCAGGAAATTCCAAGTGTCCATAACGTGCAACATAGTGACAACTGTAAGGTGCCTGGACAGTATTGGATTTCCTCTAATAATAGCTTAATTTGCAAATGTCCCAGACTGCTAAGTTTCAAAAGGAAAGAAGAGGTCTTGTGTTTTATCTTGACTGGGATCGGAGAGTCTGAGGGAGGCCTGCAGCTTCAAATGCTGTAAATCTCTCCCTTCAAAATACTTTCCTAATCATTGTCTTTCCTTTTGACTCACAGGTGGAGATTTCTTGCGCTGAGACCGAAATGAATGGAGATGCATTGAACAAAGGGGTCCAGTTAGTATTCCGTACCTGGAGACGCATCCAGGGACCTTTCATTCTTTCGCTGAAAAAGAGACGGTGCCATTTCCATGACAGAAATGCCTGCAAGAACCAGTGCTGAGGAGCTGAAAGCTGAGAGAGCCAGGGAGGGGAGCTGTGTCAGCTGATCAGCTTTCAAATCACCTTCAAACATTCAACTTTCTTAACATGATCCCGCCATCCTTGGAGTCTCCAGGGTATCCTGTAGGAACGTTAACAGGAGCAGAATGAAATGGAGCCAACTGGGACTGACTGCGTTTTGCTGTGAGAAATACCTCGTTTTCTTAGCCTGAAAGGGGAACTGAAACATATACTCTCCAGCACCTACCCCTGCCCCTTTGGACTAGATAGAGTTCTAAAATATTTTTGTATGAGTTCAGCATGCAGTTCTGATCTGGTTTTGTGACTACCTATTGATCCCAAAACAATACCAAGGGGAATACTTCAGCAATTGAACCAGTAGAGCAGGATGGCTGACAAAAGGCCATTGTCCTCTCTTTCCCACTTAGCTTATATCAGCCGGTTTTGACCCCAGTCTTGTGCACTTGAAGCTAGAGTTGCAAGACGATTGTTGCTGTCTTTCCTCTGCAACTTCCCCTAATACAAGGCGAGTAATGAAGGCGCTATGGCGAAGTTATTGGTAAAGTTCCAGCGTTATTTTCGGCGGAAACCTGTGCGCTTCTTCACCCTGATCGCACTGTACCTGACGGCCGGCAGCTTGGTGTTTCTGCATGCTGGGTTTGCTGGGGAGCCCACCATCTCAGAGAATGAACCCAACCCCTTGGAAGGCACCAGTGAAGGAACAGAGTTTCAGTACCTAGGAGTGGTTCAGCTTGGAAGGGGTTTCAAGGAGACTCCAGAGACCCGGAATTCTGTCCGGAGGTTTGGGCCTTGGTTCAAGAGTGTTTCCAAGGATATGCCTGAGAGGAACAAAATGGGGGCCCGGAGCAGAGCTCTCAAAGGGAGGAAGGTCCGCGAGAAAGAGGAGGACCGAGGTAAGAGTCCCATGGGGCTTGGGGAGACTGTCTGAATATCAGCATATATTCACACCAGGGAAAAGGCAACAACTCCCAGCAAACCTCTGGAGCAAACTCCTGGCCCTGCAGGAATCAAGGGGAGTTTTGTTACTGATATTTGTTCATCCATCTCCTGGAGGGACATTTTCCATGGCTTTATTGATTCTGGTTTTCAAAATTCACTCAAGCCAGCTTCCCCCACATCCTTTGGGATGTACTGCCAGCCAGTAGAAATTTGTTTCCCAGATATTCAGCTTGAATTTTCCTTTGCTCATTTTCATTTCATAATAAGTTTTAGTCCTAGGCCCTCCGACCAAAACAATCCACCTCCCTCTGAGATGTTTATAAGAGGAGGTTGAGAACATCCAGCTTTCCTTCTGGGAACTTTAATGAGGGTAACTCCCAGGGGAAGAAAAACACAAGTTGAATCTTGGAGCCAATTTATGTCCCCTTGACCTTACCAATGTAAGTATGCTCTTGTGTCTCTTGCATTGAGCGAGCCTCATTTGCTAGGCACCCCTTGATCTCAGTAATACAATGTTATGTCTCCATGGACTTCAGTGGAGTTACTCTGAATTTACATTGGTGTAACTGAGATTAACCAGAGTCTTTCTTTTGCCGGGTGTTTTTACTGGTGCCTCCCTGGGAGGAACACTAATCTGAAAGCCACCTTATCTTTTCCCATGGTGGTGGGGGGAAGAAGCATTGGACTCCACTCATTTTTAATATTCCAAACTGGTCACCTAATTGAAAGGCTGAGAAAGCCTGAATCCTAAACATTCAAGTGGGTTTCTCTTTCTGAGGCTTCCTGCACATTGGAACTGATCGGGTAGCACTGCAGCAAATCAGTGATGTTTCTAAGCCAGCCAAAGAGCTTGCCCCAAAATCAACATCCTCAATGTCTTTGTGTCTACGTGAACCATACATTCCTGAGCTGTTTAGCTTTGGCAATGTGAAAGGGGTCCCAGAGGGCACTGCAGACAAACAACTGTCAGTTCATCCTAAGCCCCTTGAAACATATATTATCTCTGTTTTAAATGAAACCTGCTACCCTCCGCTGACAGTGTCTTTTGTGTGGTGACTGATTGCTCTGTTTCTGATGTGCTTATCATCTCTGAGAAGCTAATTTACAGTCCCCTGACAGGGCAGTTATTTTATGAGGAGTACAGAGCTATCACAGGTTCTGTTTCTTTACCAAGTTGCATGGCTTAGCTAGCTTGTACATTCCCAGTAATTTTTTTCCATTATGATATTTCTGGAGAGGCAGCACATCTTACATTTTGTTAGCACGAAAAGACACCCTCCCTCTTTTTGCTTAACTCTGTCCTGTATGGGTGTACGTTACACAGAGGAGACTGCAAAAGCCAAGTAAACTCAAAACCAATTTAAGAAGCTCCCCAATTTCCTCCTCCCGTTCTTAACATTCACACTGCTCCATGAGGAGAGTCTAAAAAGTTTCCAGGCCATTGGTAGAAAGTGTGTGGAGAATGGATCAGTTGCTGTTTACTCCAGTGCTGTAGTTATTCTTGTTGCTCATCCTGAAGTATTTGCCAGACTGCCAGCCCAGACAATCACTTTTTTGCCTTTGATTATGAAGGCGCCTTATCACCGTATTGCTATTTCTTCTGGTATGCCTCAGATACTTGATGTGGGCATTTTGGATGAAATGCCTTCTAAAGAAATGGGAGATTAAAATACAGGCAATTACTTTTGCAGTAAACTCTCAGATTTGATGTCTGCAAGTTCTGAGATCCCCGCTGTACTTCTCTCTGTATGCAAATAATGTATAATGTATTCGGGCTTGGCTAAAATGTTAATTACCCAGGATAAGCTAATTAGGTAGTGCTCATTGGTTTTTAAAAGGTCACTTATTTACCCATTGGATAAGTATATGCAGACAAACAGTCTCTGAGGTGCCCTAAGGTTGCATGTGTGAGTTTACATATTCAGAAGTGCTCACTACATCTGGCTTTCTCCATTTTGGGGCCTACTCCAGGCAAGCAGAGGGGTGCTCTGTACCTCTGGCAATCAGACCCCAAATGGCTCAAGCTGAGCACCCAAAATGAGGGGCCACTTTTTAAAAATCCAGTCCAGAATTCCAGGGTTAATATAGGTTGAACCTCTCTAGTCCAGCACCCTTGGGACCAGACAGGTGCCGAACCAACAAATTTGCCTGACCATGGGAGGTCAGTATTGTCTAGCAGCATTACCGCTTCCACTGCTTGCTGGGCTTTCTAGAAGACATTTAGGGGTAAATTAGAGGTAAATAACAGCACAGAACACTGAGAGCCAGGACTGATAGCTGAAAACAAGCTTTATGGGACTGCGGGAAATTTGGCTACACCCATGATAAGTGGACATCCGGCTAACTACAATCATACCAAACCATGGATGTTGCCAGATCAGAGAGTATCAGACTAGAGAGGTTCAACCTGTACTTCATACCGAGGATAAACCTCCCTCTAGAAAATTGTCCTACATATGTTGATAGAATGAAATATCAGACAACAGCAACAGAATGAGATGTCAGGAGAGTACCCATGATGACACAAAATTACCTGCAATCAATGTTCCCCGATTTGAAGATGAAGGGGAACGGTACATTTACAAAGCAGTTAGACTCTGCAAATACACTGTATCTGGAGTTCTCAATCTACTGTTTTTCCCCCCGTGAAGCACTAACTTGCATCTTCGGCTGAGTGTGAATGCTGTTACAATTTGTTGTCATTAATAAAGTGGGCTGGTGTGAAGAAGCAATACAGCATGTTGCTACAGTACAGTGCACCTGTGACAGCAGCATAATGGATTGCCTTGGTATTTAGGGAAATAGCTGCAGCATTCTCCATTATGGGAACCCAAAATGAAACAAGAAATGGCAGTAGTAACTAGTGAGGTTATCACCAGAAGCAGATTCAAGCCCTGTAGATGATTTCTTTCCATAGCTTTTCCCGGGAAAGGCTTGTGTGAACTTTCAACCATGCAAAAGGCCATATTGTCGCCAACATTTGTTTTTAATTGCTGGGTGCTTTTCTGTGGTAAAAACACACAATTAAAAATACAGTACAGCCACAGGAAAGTGGAGGAATTCTGCAAAACCAGACAATCCCATAGCAAGCCATTAGGAAGCTAAGCCTGTGAAAGAATAGCATTCACACATCCCCCTCTTGTGAACTAATTCAGTGTCTCTCTATCTGTTCCCCAGGATAATTCTGTTCTCTTCATTTGGAAAGTGAACCCATCTAGTTTAGTAGGTGGGTTACAAGATGATCCCCTATCCCCAGGCTTTCCCCCTCTTGGTCATATGCTGGCATCTGGCTCATACAAACTTCAAAAAAACCTCAGCAACAAATGGCAAATGAATAAAATGATTTAATTAATTCACAGCAAATGTTTCGACCCATTCTGGTTACAGGGTTCAATGTTTGTGGTCCTGGCCCATGGGGGTGCAAAGGAGGATTGTAGAAAATATAAAGGAAGTGAGATGTGCCAGATACACAAGAGGAGATTACTTTTTTCATCTGTTCTCTGAATATGATCCCAGGGTGTTAGCTTTACAGCTGAATATCCCAGGACATTTTTCAGCATCAGCCCCTTTGTGCAGAATCGGTGCAAGGAGGGGCCATAACATTCAAGGATAGACAGGCTAATTCGGATCAACTTTCCCCTTGTGCTCCTAATGGCATGGGGGGTATTGTGGTGCACAGCACCCTCTCAGCAAATGCTCCTTAAGAAACAGGATTAGGCCAAAAACACTACCCCTACGTGCTGCAAGAGGTGTGTTCAAGTGACTGCAGCCCTGAAAACAGACAGGGGCTCATCTCCACACTGTGGGGGCATAAATGATCATTAACTGGCTGGTATTTTGTGTTCCATTTGGAATTCCTCTGCATTTCCTTTAGATTATGGTCACCAACCAGTAGATCAGGATCTACCAGTAGATCTTGGAGCCTCTGACAGGGGATCCTGACTGGTTTGGCCTGGAAGCTATTGAGCACTGGCACTTCAGTTTCCCCTCCCCTTCAGGCTGCACATCTCCTGCCCTTTGCCTTGGAACTGCCCCTTGGGAGCCTCCTGCTTGCTGTGCAGAGAATGGGAGGGACAAAGGGGGGCACTAACGTCCAGAGTCCCTCCTCCCTCCACTTCTGTACCCCATCTCCACACAGAGAGAAGGGGATGGAGGTAGCATGGAAACACAAATCTCTGTCACTCTCACACCCTGTGTGTGTCTCTGTCATTCTCACAAACCTGCACTATCCTTCCCTCTCATCTTCTGACCCAACATACATGAGGGGTTGTTGTTACTTTTACTGCTTGCAAAGTGGGTTATTTTTGGTTTTTGACTGGTCTGGGCATTTCATAACTTTCATTTCTCTCTTATGCTTAAATTTAATTCTTTGAGGAGTGAGTTCTAAAATGCTGAACCTGTCTTAGCTGGGATAATTATCCCTGTGGTAATTGCTGCTCTGGGAAGTGGCTGGCATGTCCCTGCAGCTCCTAAGTCAGAGCAGGGGGTCTCCACATGCTGCCCTTCCCTGCAGCTCCCATCATATATATAGTAGCCCAGTGTCTGTGAGTCTGTAACGCTGACGTACACGGCCATGCCCCCTGACCATGTACATCAGTGCCCCACCTTCCTTCCCCTCTGGCCAGGGCCCTGCTGAGTGCCGCTTGCGCTGTGCCACTCAGCTGGGCCCAGGCCCAGAAGGCAAGGGGGGCAGGACACTGGCGTACATGACCAGGAGGCAGGGCCTTGAACGTCACCACTCCGCCCCTCCCCCCTCTTCGCAATGCTCAGCTGGGCCACCACAGGGAAGCCCAAACAGCTGCTTGCTCCCCCACAGTGGCCCGGCTGAGGGGTGCAGAAGTCAGCCAAGTGCCACAGCCGGAGCAGGGGGGGCAGGGAGAGATGGAGAGAGCAGAATCTCAGAGTCTCAGACCAACATGGAGGAGAAACCTGAAATTCCCATCTTATGATGGGC